TATATATATATTATATATATAAATATATAAATATATAAATATATCATTAATCATAGTTTTGTTGTTGCTGGGGCTGTGAAGGTGCCTGGGCTCGAAGAGGCGGTGGCGCAGCGCATGCGGCGTCTGATCTCCGCCTGCTGCCGACATTTGCTGCCTGCAGTCGCTGAGACCAAGGAAGCCCCTGTCCTCATGGAACGGTAAGAGCTGCAGCAGCAGCAGCAGCAGCAGCAGCAGCAGCAGCAGCAGATGCAGATGCAGATGCAGCAGCAGCAGCAGATGCAGCAGTAAATGCAGTTGCAGATGCAGCAGATGCAGCAGATGCAGCAGTAGATGCAGCAGCAGCAGCAGTAGCAGCCAACAAGATGTTTAGGTGTAGTAGTAGTAGCCTAAGAGTGTTTTTAAGATATAGGGATGTATTGTTTGAAAGGAGACAGTTGAAGGGTGCAGAGACACCCTAATAACGCCTGTGGCTTGCACAGAATGGAGACAGAAGCGAGAAACATTGTTGAGTGTTGTTTAATTGCTGCTGCTGCTGCTGCTGCCGCTGCTGCTGCTGCTGCTGCTGCTGCTGCTGCTGCTGCTGTGTGCATGCATTGCAGCTATGTGTGGCTGGAGGTGCATGACCGTCTTTGGCCGTTCTTTTTGGAGACAGGAGAAGCAAAGCAAGCAGAATTTGAGGTTAGAATTAATTTAGAGTGTATAGATGCAAGTCTTGTGTTAATTATATCGTTTCATGTTATGTGCTGCCTATACACCCCAAATGCTTATCTCTGTATACATACATGCATGCATGCATGCATGCATGCATGCAGAGGGGCATCAGTCTCTTCCGGCTATCTCGTCTCTCTTACTTACAATCTCTTGGTCTTCGTCGCGAGCTCCAAGGCACTCAAACAGAAGAGGCTGCAAAGGAGTTGGGAAAGGTGCGGTGGGGTGTATGCATGCACTCTGAGGTGTATAGGCAGCTTAGTTTAACAACATTACACCGCAAACCCTTCAGATAATGAAGCTCAAAACGATTTGAATATAAACTATTATATATATATAATATATTTATTATATACAATAGATCTAATGTATATATTATATATTATCTAATATATAATAGATATATATAATTGATATATTATATATGATATATTTATTATATACTATGCATATATTATATATTTTATATAATATATATACATGTATATAGAGGAGTATCTGTATATAATATATATAATGCACATATTATATATATATGTATATATATATATATGTATATATATATATATATATGTATATATATATATATATACATATATCTTCAGGATATGACTGTCTTATAACTCAATTCATCAATTTGCTGGAGAAAGAAAACAGCTAAATAATTATAAATTTATTATTTTAAATAAATGCGTATGAAGTTGTTTTTAGCATTTTGTGGTGTATGCATGCAGATAATGATTATATATTTGTGATAGATGACGATCGCATGCAGGTGTACATACACCCCGTTTATTACTTTTTTCTTCAGGTCCCATCTATGCTGCTACCCCACGAGAAGCTGCGGCAGCTATGCCTAGCAGTAGAGGCTATACACCGCGCATGCAGTGCTGCTGTTGCTGCTGCTGCTGCTTCATCCAGGGGATATATAGACTTAGCCCGCAAAGAAGCTGTAGAGGTAAGCAGACAGAGTCTGCTTCCGGGTGTACAGGCACCTGCTGCTCAACGCAACCCAGCACAAGCTGCAGCAACAAGAGCTGCTGCTGCAGCTCTATCAGCAGCAACAAGAGCTGCTGCTGCAACTCTACCAGCAGCAACAAGCGTTGCTGCTGCAGCTCTATCTGCAGCAACAAGCGCTGCTGCTGCCGCTCTCCCCCAGCAGCAGCAAGAGGGCCTTTCTGCTGCTGCATGCATGCTTTGAACTCGGTTGCTTCAGGTTTGCTGCGAAGACCTCGTAGCTCTGCTCGTCTCTTCGCTCGCTGATGCAGGGGCTGGGGCTTTCGTCGCTAGTTATTTGCACATGTCGGTGGTGCTGCTGCAGCAGGTATTTCCTTTGATGTTTATATATATATATATATGTATATGTATATGTATAAATATACACATATATACATATATATACATGTATATATATGCATATATATATATAAATATATATATGCATATATATTTATTTATATATATAAATATATATATGCATATTTATTTATTTATTTATTTATTTATTTATTTATTTATTTATATATTCGTTGAGATGCTAAGATGAAGATTTGAGTAGGCATTTTATTATTGTCTGTTTGATCTCAGGTGTATGCACAGGTTTGTATGTTTATGTGCAGTGTATATACACCTCGGGTGTATTGTGTATCCCTGCGAGTTTGTTAAGCGTCTGTGTGCCTATTGTTTGCATGCAACAGCTTCTTTTTTTGTCTCGTTTGCAGCCGAGAGAAGCCCGATTAAATAAAGAAGCTTTCTACCTAACTGCTCTTCACTCTGCTCTTACATTTCTTGCTCAGTTAAAGGCTCCCGAGGTTAGATAAACATACACCAGAGCTTGCTGTCATCTGATTAACCCTTTCTTTATTAAAGGCCTTCAAGAACCCATTGACACCACCCCGATGCTGCTGCTGCTGCTGCTGCTGCTGTCTCCACGGCGCTGTGGGAGAGATGCTTATTGCTGTCTTGTCTTACGCTGCTGCTGCAGCCATTACATCGACCCGCCCCCTCTCTTCACACAACTATAAAAAGCTAACTTTCTTTCTATACACTACGAATGCACAAGCACAGCGCGGCCTCGCAATCCTTTATCAAACACCTCTTCTGGGGGCCCCCCCAGGGGCCCCCAGGGGGCCTTGGGGCCTCCCATGGGGTATTGGGGCCCCCCAGGGGCTCTTGGGGCCCCATAGGGGGCCTTGGGGTTACGCAGCTCTTCTGGGGGCCCCCAGGGGTCCGTGGGGGCCCCTCCAGGGGCCCCCAGAGATTACAATTTGTCTCTTGTGTTTACATAGAGGGACAGCAACACATATGACGAGCTTCTCAGAGGGTGGAGGGCCTCGAGAGCAGCTTTAGGTGCTCTGTTGAGGCCCTAAGCTGGGTCTGCACATACACCTGAAAGAATGAGGGGCCTCTGCGCTGTACAGCGTGGTGTTTGGCTGCTAGTAGAAAGACAAAGAAGTTTATAATGAAGATTTTAAAGAGAGTATATTGCATTAAATAATAATGATGCTCTCTGGTGTATAACTCAGAAAAGAAAGGGTGTAAATCGGTTTGTATTAGGATATCTCTCGTTAGTTGCGAACAAAGCAGAAAAAAAACTAAATAATTTTTACTTTAAAGCAATTAAATAGCAAGATAAAGCTAACAGCAGCAGAGCAGCAGCATTAAACCCTAAAACCCTAAACCCTAAACCCTAAAAGAGAGGCGCACTTAAAGTTTATTATTGTTCTTTCTTTGTTATCTGAATATTCTTTAAAGACAGCAGCAGACTTGTCTTTAAAATCTGCTGTCTCTGAGTATTTACTCCTATCCTTCACACTCTTAGCCTCTTATTGCTTCTCTCTTAAGGATAGCGTTGTGAATTGTAATATAATTATAATATGTATATTAAAATATATATCTATTATAATATTATATATATATATATATTGTAATATATATATCATAATACATATATATAATATATACTATAATATATATATATATATATATATATTGTAATCTATACATTATAAATATAGATTAACATACATATATAATATAGATATATTATGATATATATATATAGTAATATATATATTATAATATACCTATATATATTATAATATATATTATAATATATATCACACAGTTGGTCTTCTATTTATACTTAGACTGTCGCTGTTCTTCTTTTAATGAAGTAATAAAAAAAGGGGTTAATAAACTTTGAAGAAAAATATAAATAAAATATAAAAACAAATTAAAAGTATTGAGTATCTTCTTTAGGCTTAAGAGGTCTGTGAAAACTATAAAAAAAAGAAAAAACCCTTAGCTGCACAATCAAGCCCCAAACCAATGCATGCATTAGCGCTTTATAGACTTTTTTAAACATTTTCTAAACCTTTATTTGTATTAATATTTGTCAACCTATTGAGATAAATAGTAATGCGTTAAAGCCTTCTATAGACAAGCACTTCTTAATTATTAAGTATTGCATATTAGTGAAGCCCTATGTAGGTAGTAATAAAGAAATTTAATATATTATTATGCTTTTTGTCTGCTGTATATAAGTTTAATATCTTTAAGAGAATCTGTATATATATATTATATATAATACAGATAATATCTCAATATACACCTCAGCTCTTGCTCTCTCTCTCTCTCTTTGCTTTTTACTCTTCTCTCACGAGTTTTAAATGCCCTATGTTTAAATAATTATTAAAATGTATATTTTGTTTAAATGTTTAGTCTTTTAAAGAAATTATTATACCCCATTGCTGCTACTACAACCCTGCTGCTGCTGCTGCTGCTGCTGCTGCTGCTGCTGCTGCTGCTGTACCTAATGTATTGGGCCCCACTTGGGGCCCTCTGTAAGAGGAGACAGTAGTCTCAACAAACGCGTTTATATCTCTAAGCTAAAGTTGTTTAATAACATTATTATATTAATTAAATTAAGAATTAGAGATAATATTATGCAGCTTAAAGCGCTGAAGGAGACAGACACCGGGCGTACTACTCAAGAAGGCTTATTGTCTCTAGGGTTTAAGTTTTGAAGCTTATTATCTCTTTGCTGTCTCTATTGAAGAGTTATGAATGCATGCAGCATTTCTTTTGTCTAATATACAGGTCTGTAGAAGTCTCTCTCTCTCTCTCTATATATATATATATATTTATATTATATGTATGTATATATAAATATATATAGAAGCATAACTCTTACAGTGCGCAGGAGTTAAAGGGACAGCAACTGTCTCCTTCTGAAGCAGCAGTCTTCTCAAGAGAAGCAATAAGCAGAGTAGCTGCTTTCAAAGAAGCCAATGTTGGGCCCCACATCAGGAGCAGCAGCAGCAGCAGCAGCAGCAGCAGCAGCAGCAGCAGCAAGAGAAGATGCAGTTGCAGCAAGGGCCTCGAGAAAAAAGAAAGGAGGAGACCCGCAAAGGCGTAAGCAGTGCAGTGTACACGCCTTAATGAAAAGAGTCTCCTTAACAAACAAACCGCTGTCTCCGTCAAACAGCCTAGCAGCAGACTCAGCAGCAGCAGCAGCAAGAGAAGATGCAGTTGCACCCGTAAGAAAGGAAGCAGGGAGCCTTGAAGGCAGCCTGGATACAGCTTCTAGTAACTTGTCTGAGAATACAGCAGCAGCAGCAGCAGCAGCAGCAACAGCAACAGCAGCAGCAGCAGCAGCAGCAGCAGCAGAAGCATCGAGGCCTGCTTCGAGCAGTCCTAAGGAGCATCTAGAGGAGCTGTCTCTCTTTATGTTTGACCTTGGAGAGTGTGATAAACAGCGCTGCAGCGGCAGGAGGCTGCTGAGACACCGCAAAATCAACAAAATTTACTCCTCAGGCCGCGTAGAGTATACACAAGCACCAGGAGGCCGCCGCCCCCGCAGCAGCAGCAGCAGCAGCAGCCGCAGCAGCAGCCGCAGCAGCAGCAGCAGCCGCAGCTGCAGCGAAAGCAGCAACCGTAATAAGAGCTGCAGAGATAACAAAAGCGGGTCTGACTCGGAGAGAGATAGTGAAGGGGAGGAAGACTCTTCTGAAGCAGCAGCAGCAGCAGCAGCAGGAGCAGCAGCAGCAGCAGGAGCAGGAGAACCAGCAGCAGCAGGAGCAGCAGGAAGCTTACAGAGCAGCAAAGACAGCTTAGTGCGCGTGCGTATAAAAGGGGGACAGTTCAGAGGCATTGTGCTGTCTCCGTATGCTACAGATAAAACTTTAATATTCTCTGCTGCAGATAAATGTATCATTCAGCAGCACGGTCTTGCTGTCGTTGACTGCAGCTGGAATAAGGTGAAGACGAGGAGACAGTTGCAGCATTTGTTCAGCAAAAGTCCGTCGGAGACACTTCAACTATATATATATATATATATGTATTATATATATATATTTTAATATCTTAAGCACTTCTTAAAGGCAAAGATAAAAGAAAAAGATGCATATACACCTAAACTATATACTTAAAACTCAGACAGTAGAGCAGAGACGCATACATATACATATATATATATATATGTATATATATGTATATGTTGCTGAAGACAATGCTTATTAAAGTCTAAGAATATAATAATACATATATAATTATAATTATAAGTATTATTAAGGATTAAAGCTGCTGCTTGTGTGCTGCTGCGCTGCTGCATGCTTCTCATAGAAAACGAAAGAGTTTTACCTCTGCTGCTCTGCAGCAACCCTGTACACTACGGGGCCCCTAACATTTTAAACTGCGCTGAGGCCCTTGCTGCAGCTCTCTATATTGCAGGTATGTCTGCTGTCTCTCTTCATCTCGCTGTCTCCTTCTGTACTATATATATATATATTATATTATATATTATATATTATATTGCGTCTGTCTCTGTAAGCGAGTGTATGTCTCTTCTGTGTGTCTCTGTGAAGATTTGGTGTCTCTTTATGCTATTTTCTTTTATTATTATTTTGCTTATCTACCTTCTATATATCTATCTATCTCTATTTTCTTATGTTTCGTCTCCTTTAATACCCAGCCACTGTCTCTGTCTCTGTCTCTGTCTCTGTCTCCGTCTGTCTTTATCTTTTGTTCTTTTGTTTTTTATAGATCTGCATTACTGACTCTAGTTGCTGTCTGTCTCTTTAAAGAGTTGTAGGCCCTTATTATTATCTGTCTCTTAAATGCATTTCTTCTGTCTCCTTGTATGTTGAGGCATGTTGTTAAGATCTCTCTTTTTCTTCAGCTGGGGTGTACATGCAGCTATCTATATATCTGCATGCATTTCAGGCTACCGGAGGCATGCAGAGCTTGTGCTAAGCAGCTTTACTTGGGGCCCTCATTTCTTAGACCTTAACAAACGCTTTCTTAATCGTTATATATCTGTCTCTTCTGCTGCTGCAATGAGAGCACTTAAGCTGCAGCAAGAAGCAGAGCTTCTTCAAGAAAAAGCAAACAGAGACAATAGAAAGACTAACAACACCGAAGGATATATGTCTGTATATACAGATATTGAAGCTGTCCTCCCAGCAGGGGGAGACGCCAAAGGCACGAAGCAGCAGCAGCAGCAGCAGCAGCAACAGCAGCAGCAGCAGCAGCAGCAGCAGCAGCAGTAGCCCCTGCAAGAAATAGCAAAGATAAGGGGTCCTTTAATGTGTGATAGCTACGCCAGTGCTGCAGCATATATTACTCTATGATAGGCCCTGTGGAGTGCATGCACAGGCTGCTATATATTGCATGCATTGCATGCATTGCATGCATGAAAGCCTTCTTAAGAAAGCCTAAAGACAAGCCCTATTGCTTTAAGGGGTGCTCAGACTTTCTTGAGTTTGTTTCTATGCGTGAATTAATATAAATGCTGAAAGGCAGTTATTATTGCTTAACCACTCAACTTACTGCTTTATATATATATATATATAGATATAGATATAGATATATGTATATATATATATATAGATATATATATATATAATGCTTTTAAGGAAGATGTACTCATCATACAGACATTGATAGGGTGTACACCCACATAGGCCAGTAGATATATATATATATATATATATATATATCTATATATATATATATATATCTATATATATCCAT